TGAGGAATTTGAGGGGAATTTTGGGGGGAATATTGGGGGAATTTGGGGGAAGTTCTGAGAAATTTGGGGGAAATTTTGGGGAAGCTCTGGAGATTTTTTTTGAAATTTTGGGAATTTTTGGGGGTATTTTTGGGGAAATTTTGGGGAAATTTTGGAGAAATTCTGGGAAGGGATTTAGGGTTGGGAGGAGGGATTGGAAATTGGGAAGAGGGATTTGGGGTTGGAAGTGATTTAATGGGTTTAAAATTTTGAATTGAATTTGTTTATAATTTTTATTCATTTCTGATTTTATCTCTTTCTACAATTCCCATTAATTTTTTTCTCATTTCCTCTCCCTTTTCCCCATTCCCATTAATTTTTTCTTATTTTCTCTCTATTTTTCCCCATTCCCATTATTTTTTTTCCATTTTTCCCCATTTTTTCCCCCATTCCCATATAATTTTTCCCATTTTTTCCCCAGGATCCCCCGAGGTGGCCGTCTCTCTCATTTTGGGCTCATTTTCCATCAGTTTGGTGCTGATTTTGGCCGTCGCCTCCTTTTTCTACCTCAAACGCTCCAAGCGGCTCCCGCGGCTCTTCTACCGCCAAAACAAAGGTCAAAAACGGGAAATTTGGGGAAATTTGTGATTTTTTAATTAATTTTATTCTGTTAATTAATTTAAAATTTCAATTTTCTTACAAATTTCATGGCAGAATTTGAAATTTTCTATTTTTTAATTAATTTTATTCCATTAATTGATATAAAAATTTGAATTTTCTTACAAATTTCACGGTAGGATTTGAAATTTTCCATTTTTAAATTAATTTTTTTCCGTTAATTGATTTTTCCCGATGATCCCAAAATTGATGGATTTTTGCGGGATTTTTTAAAATTTTATTTTCCTTTTTCAATGATAAAATAATTACATTCATGGATTAACTTTGGAAAATTAACAGTTCCAGCCTCCTAAATTAATCAAAATTAATTAATTAAAATGGTTTTTTTCTCTTTTAGCATCCGTCCTCCAGCCCAGTGAAACGGTGAGTGAATTCTGGTTTTATAAAACATTAAATAAATAATAATTTAAAACTTAATTGTAATTTAAATATTAATTAAATTAGAAGTTCAACATTAAATAAACAATCATTTAAACTTTAATAAAGAAGTATTTCACCATTAAATAAATAAGAATTTGAACTTTAATAAAATAACCATTTAAACATTAAAGAAATAAAATTTAAGGGGTTTTTTTAAGGAAAAACCATTAAAAATTGGGGTTTTTGATACGAACTTTATTAGGAACCAAAAATTTCCTTGTTTTTTTAAGGAAAAATTGTAAAAAAATTGCTTTTTTTTCACAAATATTATTAAAAACCACAAAAAATCCCATTTTTTAAGGAAAAACCATTAAAAATTCCTCTTTTCTCATGTAATTATTATTAGAACCCTAAAAAAAATCCTATTTTTTTCAAGGAAAAATTTTAAAAATCTTTTTTTTTTTCCCATTTTCCCTTTTTTTTTCAGGCCTCCATGATTCCCCCTCCGACCTCCTCAGGTGAGAGATTTGACTCCGGAAAATCCGGGAAAAAATCCGGGAAAAATCCCAAAAAATCCCAAAAAGCTCCGGAGAGAGAGGGACGGGCACAGAACCCCCAAAAAAAACCCTCTGCTGTGGGTTTGGGGCTGAGTTTGGGGTTTTGGGGGTTGGTTTTGGGGTTTGTGGGTTTGATTTTGGGTTTTGTGGGTTTAATTT